ACATCATTCATTGCAGGTGCTGAATTATACCTCTGACATTTGCTTTCAATCCTTACAGTTCGTACTGCATACAATTATCAGTCTTTCTCTTGCTGAGGGCCAGGGGTGATGTGGCTGGGATGTCTGCAGATGGGACAGAGATAGAATTTTTGGTGTCCTCCCTCTGCCTTTTGGGATGCTTCTTCTTCTTCTTCTTCTTCTTCTTTTTTTTTTTTACTGTTTTGGCACTGAATTAAAAACAATATCTCTTCTGCTATTCTCCCCTATTTCATTGCTGTTAAAAAGGGAAAAAGTGCCACTGTAATGGATTTTGGGAGGCTATGTGCAACATTAGCCAATTAGTTATACTTTGGCCGCCTACTGACAAGAGAGGACTTATTGGAAAAGACCCTGATGTTGGGAAAGATTGAAGGCAAAAGGAGAAGGGGACAGCAGAGGATGAGAAAGTTAGATAGTCTCATTGATGAAATGAACATGAATTTGGGCAAACTCTGAAAGACAGTGGAAGACCAGAGGGGAGGGGGGAGCCTGGCATGCTATGGTCCATGGCAGGGGTGTCAAACTGCCGGCCCGTGGGCTGGATGTGTCATCTGGAAGCCGCGCCCACCCCATTGCTGGCAATGGGAAAACCGTCCCAATACGTTGTGCGACCTCACGTGACATCATGAGTTTGACGTCTGGTCCATGGGGTCATGAAAACTCAGACAAATTTAATGACTGAACCACAAACACATGTACCACTAAAACACAGCCCATCTCCACTTGCTGAAACAGTCTGTCTCTTTGCAACTGCCCCAGCTGATCGCTGCTGGTTGTGAGGACTCTACAGATCTGATAAGACTGATGCTTAGTTTTGATGTATGGTGGGCATCACATTTTCAGTCTGCGTTTTACAGAATTTAACTACTATACAAACTTATTTAAATACTGGATTGTTGTTACTCAAGGTGTTGGTTACCACATTTAAAGCGCTCCATGGCATCGGACCTGGGTATCTCCGAGACCGTCTTCTGCCGCAGATTACCTCCCATCGACCGGTACGCTCCCACAGAGCGGGCCTCCTCAGGGTGCCGTCGGCCAAACAGTGTCGGCTGGCGACCCCCAGGGGGAGGGCCTTCTCTGTGGGAGCCCCCACCCTGTGNTGTGTTCCTTTATGTAAGTCCCAAAGAACATCAGTTTCTTCCTCTGTTGGCTAAGATTTCTAATGTTAAGCAGACAAACACATTTTCTTTCACTGATAAATGCAAGTACCAAACCTTATTAAGTCACCCAGCTTGCAGCTGCTGCAAAGAAGAAAAATCGAGTTAATTTTGTTAAATCAAATGCAGTATGTTGTTATGGTGACCATTTACAAATTGGGGTCATCTTGGCAACACATGCTTTCTGGAGTACATCTGCTGCTGTGTTTATTGGTTTAGTGTTCTTTTATTTTAAATAATAACATCAACAAGTATAAGCAACAATGGAACTCTAGCATGTCTACTTAAACTGCAGCCAAGGAGCTGGATATTTTACATGCATATTCAGGAACCTCACCTGTTGGTTTCAGTGGGATGATTCCTGATTTTGATATAGAGTTCTAATTGTATGAATGCAACTAGCATACACAACTTTTAAAAATGCAAACAGCTGGGGGAGATCTGAGCAATAGCTATACCAGGGGTCTTCAAACTTGGTTCTTTTATGACTTGTGGACTTCAACTCCCGGAATTCCTCAGCCAGCATGCCTGGCTGAGGAATTCTGGGAGCTGAAGTCCACAAGTCATAAAAGGGCCAAGTTTGAAGAACCCTGAACTATACTGTTGAAGTTCAAGAAGAAGTTAATGGTTGCTTGTTACCCTTCCAGAAAAAAACCTCCCTTCCCATCTTGCTACTGGTTTTAGTCACCCCAAGCATTCGTACTGGTGTTTGAACACCTTAGAACTGGGGTCCCCAACCCCTGGGCTGCAGCCCACTATCAGGCCATGGTCCGTTTGGAACCATGCCATGAAGCAATGGGTGAGCATGCGCACATGTGCACAGCTCTACTTATACGAGCAGTGCACAAACATGCGTGTGCGCAAAGCTACATTTGCGTGAGTGGTGGGCGCACGTGCCTGCCGCTCACGCAAATGGATCTGCACGTGTGTGCTCATCTGCCGCTCATGCAGAAACATCCTCTCTCCCTCCCCTGGCGGTTTGCAAAGCCAGAAAGGTTGGGGATCGGTGCTTTGGAAAAATTGTTGTAAAATCTGATTTTGAGTCTGTTTTGATTTGTCTCATTTGGATCATGCCTTCAAGTTTGAAGGTGCACCTATTCATCTTTGTCCCCAAAGCAAGAAATTACATGAGTTGGATTCCCACACTGTCCTATGCCTCAAAAGTTACTTTTGTAGGAATGAAACTTCAGTTAAATGTCAGACTCTCTTGGCTGAAATGTTGACTGAATTTTTTTAGATACTTGATATTGCCTGGCTAATTACAGGTAGTCCTTGACTTACGACTGTAATTACAGTCGTAAGTCATTGCGGTCACAAATCAGGACATCCATGTGACCAGAAGTACATTTCTGTCTTTCTTCACAGCTGCCATTATATGAATGTCATTAAACCGGTCATTAAGCAAACCTGTTCATCTGAATGGGTGTTTTTTGTCAGAAACTGGCAAAAAACATCATGGATGGTGGTCAAAAATGACTGGTTGTTAGAGGACTATCTTTAACAATAAAGACACATCTAACAAAATGGATGTGTAATTTCTTCAAATAACATATGCATTTTAACCCCAGAGCTTCTGTCCTTTTCACCAATTTACAGAGCTTTTCTTTGCAACTTTGTGCAAGATAGCTAGCAGTTCATCACTGATATTTTTGGCATACTGCCCTGGGAACTAGCTGCCAACCCATCTCCCACAGAAAGAGTAGAGAACAAGGTCTTATGTACAATTCCACTCTTTAATTTCTATTGACCTCCATATCACTGTGGTTGAGCTTGCACGGATGTGAGAATGGTCTTCTGCACCGACTGGGACTATGGTTTCTTGAGGTCCTGGGTCGTGCAGAGAGATGTCCTTGTGTCCAAGCAAATGTGAGTATACTTCCTTCAGGAGAGGAAATTTCCAACAGAATTCAGTGAAAGTCAGGAAGAGAAAGAATTGGGGATTCTCTGTGCAGTTATTTCACAAGTGTCACATGTCCAGCTGAATGCCTGAAGAAGACTAAGAACTCTGCCTTTTTGACAGCGTAAAGTAGGAGAACTGGGAATGATAGTAATTGAATGTGTTTCTCTCTTTGTTGTCATTTCAGAAAGGTGAGTGGTAACATCTTCCAAGGTCTCTGAACATCAAAGTGGAAGAGCAGGAAGACAAAAGAGAGAATTGCATGCACATGCTCACACAGAAAAAGCTGTGGTCTGCTGTGTGTGTGTGTGGGGGGGGTTTCTCCCCAAGCCAAGGAAGGACACAGAGAGGGATGGTTGCAAGATGAACATAGGAGTCTCAAGTTTACAAAGGTTTGCATGAGAAAAGAACAGGAGGCACTTCCTGGGTTGCTTCTTGTCTTTGAAGACTTGCCGCAGTCAACGGCACTGCGATGGCTCGGTTTAAAGCTTCAACACAATTCACAAGGAAAATATTTGAACTGCAACTTTTGGACAGTTTTCCTGCTTTGAAGTAGTTTGTCATGCTTTACCAGTGTGAACTCTGTTGACCCACATCCCCACCCCCCCTGTCCCTCTATTACTTCAGGATTTTTTTCCCCTGAATCAAATAGCAACTTGGGACACTTTGAAATCTTGAATCTACAGTGGCTCTTAGCAGCTCTGGCTTCATCTCCAATGCAAGCAAAGCAGGAACGCCACAGGGGAGACCTCCCTTTGCTGTAAATGAAGCCTGGTGACAGTTTCCTGAAATAGCATTTCCAGCTCCCCCTCTGCTCCCCCTTTCAAAGGCCATGGATCCTGAACAAAGCAAGAGGAGCACAAAAAAGGGGGATGAGGTTCCAAGAAAGAGGCTCGTGAAAGGAGAAGCTTTTCAAAGCAGTATCTCCTCCATGACTCCGTATCCAAGCAGCTCTGCTCTGCTACCAGGCTCTCCCCTCCAAGATGTTGCATCCCAGCAATGTTTTTCAAGGGAGGAGGCTCAGGAGAAGACAGGACAAGCTCAACCCAAGCATTCCTCTTTTGAGCATCCATCGCACATGGCCCAACTTCAACAGCACTCGTTGTCACCAGCATACAGGACTCCCCGAAAGCAAGAAGGCCCTACCTGGCAGCTTGTTGATCCAGCAAGATCAATTCCCTCTGGCTCATTTCCTTCTTCTGGGCTCCCTTCCAGTCACGGTCAGATCTTACCATCCTGCTCCTCTGTTTCTACTGAAGAAGACAAACCCCCTGTTCAAAAGGTCTACATCCCTCGTACCTTGCAGGTTTCTTTGAAACCATCTGAAGAAGGACACAAGAAGGAAAAGAAGCCACAGAAGCCAGGCAAATACATTTGCCAGTACTGTAGCCGGCCTTGTGCCAAACCAAGTGTTCTCCAGAAACACATCCGATCCCACACAGGTGAGAGACCCTATCCATGTGTTCCCTGTGGCTTTTCCTTCAAAACCAAAAGCAATTTGTACAAGCACCGAAAATCTCACGCTCATCGCATCAAAGCTGGGTTATCTTCAGGCACTGCTACAGAGTTGTACCCTTCCAGCTTGGAGGTGGAGAAGATGGGTGGAGAGGAATTTGAAGAGCCTACAGAAGGAGAAAGCACAGATTCTGAAGAGGAAACCAGAAGCACCCCAGGCCATTTGTTGGAACTATCCACCAGGCGAAAGCAAACTATGTTGTATGGGGCAGGAAGTCAAGGTTCAAGCCAAGAAAGCACCTCCTTTCTCCATTCTAGCATGTCTCAATCCCTTGATGACAGCAGTGCTTTTGTAGAGCCATCCTCAGACCTTGCCCAGAGTCATAAATCAGAAGAAACGCACACTATCAAACAAAAGCTTGCACTCCGTCTAAGTGAGAGGAAGAAAGTTATCGAGGAACAGGCTTTCCTTAGTCCTGGCAGTAAAGGAAGCACCGAATCAGGCTACTTCTCAAGATCAGAGAGTGCAGAGCAGCAAATTAGTCCGCCGAATACAAATGCAAAATCATACGCAGAAATCATTTTTGGCAAATGTGGGAGGATAGGCCAGCGGACTGCTATGTTAGCCACAACCACGACTCCAGAATTTCCCCCAGTCTCGTCTGAAGAAAAGCTGAGTACTGTTCCTTTGTCTGTGCCTCGGACACAGGTTATTGAACATATCACCAAGCTGATCACCATCAACGAGGCAGTTGTTGATACGAGTGAAATTGATAGTGTTAAACCAAGAAGGAGTTCTTTGTCTAGACGGAGCAGTATCGAATCTCCAAAGCCTGGCTCTTTCAGAGAATCATTTCAGCTAGACATCAAACCTGGTTCCGGTAGCCAACCAGATCCATCAAAGTCGTTGACATCTCATATTGAAAAAATGAAGCCTGAATCATCCTTGTTATCGTTCCAGCAATCCCACAGTGCCACGGAGACAGTGCCTCTTCTAAGAAGCCACTCTATGCCTTCAGCTGTATGCACTATGAGTTCTTCTCACTCCTTTAGAGGTAGTTATTCTTTCGATGATCACATTGCTGAATCGGAGATCTTAAGCCGCAGTCAGATGTCTTCCCATCCCCGGATGCTAAAACGGCAGCCAGCTATTGAGCTACCATTGGGAATGGAGTACAGCTCAGAAGAGGTTGGCGCAGCAGGCAAGGAAAGCTTCTCCAGACCTCCAGAAGAACAAGAGACCAAGGAGAGTGAGTTGACCAAGAAGTCAAGGAAGGGCACCAAAACAAAAGGATTTATGTATGAGTGCAATATCTGTGGTGCTCGATACAAGAAACGAGATAATTATGAAGCCCACAAAAAGTACTATTGTTCAGAACTTCAGATCTCCAAACCTCACTCTTCCAGTTCATATACTTTATCTGAAATGGAGAAAGGTTTGATGGAATCTGATCCAGGGCCACAAGTGATGCATTATAAGTTGGGAACTAGCTTAGAACTGACTCCACTGAGGAAGAGGCGAAAAGAAAAGAGTCTTGGTGATGATGAAGATCCACCAGCTTTTGAGTTAACTGAAGCATCCTTTTCTAGAAGTGGACCAGTCACTCAGTTTATGGGGTTGAAATCCAGTGATGTGGCCTTGAACCTCACTTCCAAGTCTGTGAAGCCAGCAATGGATCCCGCTCAACCTGTGCCTCTTTCCGAGGTTAGTATAAGTTTTCATCCTAGAACTGCAAATCCCCTATTTACTCCAGAGGGCAAAGAGAGGAGAACAACCTCAAAGGAAATCTCTGTCATCCAACATACAAGTTCTTTTGAGAAGTCAGATTCCATAGAACAGCAGAGTAGTTTAGAAGGAGAGGAAAAGCTGCTCTTGTCTTATGCCTCCCAACCAGAAGTCCAACATGGCCGACCAACTCACTCCCTTCAGCCAAAGCTTGTGCGTCAACCTAATATTCAAGTCCCTGAGATTCTGGTCACTGAAGAACCTGATAGGCCAGAAATGGAACCGGAGCCTCCACCGAAAGAGCCAGAAAAGTTGGAGAAATTTCAGTGGCCACAGAGAAGCCAGTCTCTCTCCCAACTTCCTGCAGAGAAGCTACCACCCAAAAAGAAGAGGCTACGGCTAGCAGAAATGGCCCAGTCTTCTGGAGAATCCAGTTTTGAGTCAATCAGAAGCCCAAGTCAGGAAAGCAGCATCTCCCATACTTCTAGTCACTCGGCTTCTTTTGAGAGAGAGGAAACTGTTTCTCAGTCCTCTGAATTTCATGGTAAACCTCTTGGCCTTGGCCTCGGCTCCCACATGTTAACAGTACCAAGTTCCCATCTCCACCACCATCACCACCATTCCCGAGAAATGAGGAGGTCTGCTTCTGAACAGACACCCAATGTCTCACATTCCTCTCCAATGTCGGAGATCCGCAGCAAGTCCTTTGACTATGGGAGCTTGTCTTCATCTCCTTCTACATCCCAAATTCCAACAACAACAACAGCAGCTCCACAGGAGAGGAGAAAGTGCTTTTTGGTTCGGCAGGCATCTCTCACCAGGCATCCAGAGCATGAGCCAGACTCTGCCTCCAAAGGAACAGCTGAGACTGAGGAATCCGTGCAACCTTCAACTCAGTCTCCTGCTGCAAGCTTGCCATATCAACAACTGCCTTCCTCCTCTTCCTCCTCCTCCTCTTTCTCTTCTCACAGAGGGTACCCAGCTGACAAGGATCAGCCAAAAGACTGTTCTGAGTCCTTGTGCACATATCCCTACGCTGAAGCTCTGCAAGTGGTCCATCCACCTGTCCCTCATTTAACCCTCCATGAAAAGCAGTACATGGGCCCACAAATTTCTCTCTTACCATTCCAGCACCTTTTGCCACCATTGGGACATTCAGTTGAGCTTTTCTCCTCTCAGACCATGGCAGACATATTCTCCAGTCAGTATTCCATCCCTCAGGTCCCTCATTCCTTATTTCAAAGCGCAGCACTTCCTCTTCAAGAAGCGTTGCTGCATCAGGGCCAGTTACACATTGCCCCTCCGCTGCTGTCACACCCGGCTGATATCATAATCAGGCAGAGCCCATCAATCTTGCCCTTCCATTATCCAGGATCCTCACCACTCCCTTCTGCATTGTTTCTGCCTCTTCAGTCACAGCTTGCTCTCCAGCTGCCAAGTGACATTGGTGCCCACTTGCCCCATCTGAAATCCAGCCTCTCTCCTGAAATTGGAAGCCGTACCTTCTCCCCATCTATAGATTATGGCTCTGAGAGCCGACTGCATATTTTAGCTCGGCCCAGTAGCCCCTCTGCATCCATCTCCATTTCTCAGTTGGTGGTACCTGCCTGTTCAGAGCCTGTGGTATCTCTAGTTGTCCCAGTTCGCATTCAGGCTAACATGCCATCCTACGGAAGTGCAATGTACACCACTCTTTCCCAGATCCTAGTCACTCAGTCCCATTGCAGCGCCTCTTCAATCCTACTGCCAAAATTTGAGGACTATCAGACCAAGGGTACTCTGGTCTGCACTGCTAATGTTCACAGTGTTGGTCTTGATTTGGCTCAAATGATCACAGAGGAGCAGAAGACCCTGATCCACAATCCGTACCTGCGGCTGCCATTGTCTCTGTCGGAAAGGAAAGGCTATTTTCCCCTGGGCCCCATGTCTGAAAGCGTCTTGGATCTCGAAGAGAGCCCATCAAATGCTGGAGGAAGCAAGCGGATGCTTTCTCCAGCTGGGAGCTTGGAGCTCACCATGGAAACCCAGCAGCAGAAACGGGTGAAGGAAGAAGAGTTCTCTGAGACAGAAGAGAAGCTGGAAATAGTGATGACATCCAATACAATGGAGGAAGGGAAAAAACGTGATCAAACAGCAGCCAAGGCAGAAACACTCCCAGATATATTGTCTGAACAGTCAGAATCCCCCAAAGGCCAGGCTGCCTTAAACCTGGTCTTGCCACAGTCTGAGGCCTCTAGCTTTGACGTTCAAAAAGAATGTAAGCAGCCAGTGAGAAAGAAGCCTGAAAGCAACCACGCTCCTGAGAAAGTGAAGAAGGAGGATTTGAAAGAATCGGCAGAAGCCTTGGTGGCAAATCCTCTGAGCTCAGCATGTTCTTCAGCAGCTGCTCAAAGCTCCAAGAAGTCTCAGGACAGTACAGATGTTAAGAAGGTACTTCCGTTCCCCAGTCTCCACACAACTACTAATGTCAGTTGGTGCTATTTAAATTACACAAAACCAAATCACATTCAGCAAGTTGACCACAGTTCCTCCGTGTATGCCAGCTGGTGCATTAGCCTGTATAATCCCAACCTCCCCGGTGTATCTACTAAAGCTGCCCTGTCACTCCTACGCTCCAAGCAAAAGGTGAGCAAAGAAACCTACACCATGGCTACTGCTCCACGTCCAGAGACAGGGAGGCTTGTACCCTCAAGTTCCAGGAACCCCAAAATGTCAGAGGTAAGGAAAATCACTTTTTCCTTTGGCCCTCATCTGTTTGTTTAAGAATTGGACAGCATTGCTGCCAGGCTTCAAAGAACTGGCTCAACATGTTATTCAGATGAATTGGGTCACAACTACCTAGAACTGGCTCCCCAAAGCAGTGCTGGCTGGATGTTTTGGAGGTTCTCAGCCCAACGTATTTGGAAGACGCCAGGTTGGAGAAAGTTGCTCTAGAACCCCCAACTCTGTTGCTTAAAATAAACTGCTGTCAAACTAGCTAAAGACAACACACCTGGGTGTATTGGGTTCTCCAACAGAGTTGCTTTCTTCTGTCATTCCCCAGTCTGGTGTCTTTGAATATGTTGGAGCTGCAACTTTCAGAATTACCAATGATTAGGAAATATCACAGGAGTAAAGCCAGTACTTTTGAAAGGTTCTGCTTTGGAGAAGGTCAGCCTGATCCATTTTATAGCCTTATAATGTGCGGTCAGCCCAAGGAATGGGCTGTGGATGCACTTCTTTGTTGGCTTTGCTGCCCAGATCAAATTGTAGAATCAATCCTTGCCATGAAAATTGTATTAAATGCCTTGCTTCCTAGTGAGCACCCCAGTGCTGAGTCATTTGTACACTGTCTATTCCCAACACTGTGAGTGACTAGTGTGTGGAAGCTTCCTCTTTGTAAGTTGCTAGATTTCAGCTAACAACTTACTCATTTCAGATTTCAGCTAGGGAGCTTTACTATTCCGCACAACAAAACAGATAGAAATAGGCAAGATAACGTATCTCCCAGTTCAGAGAAAACTGAATGCAGCTGCTCCTGAAGTCAGTTCAATGCATTTATGGCAATCACCAGGGCCAATTTGTTGTGGCCAACTCGCCACAGCCAACTTGCTGGATCACCTGGCTGCAGCCAACTTGCCAAAGGGCAGCTAGCCATGGCCAACTTGCCGCAGGACAAAAGTTACACTAATATCAGAGAAAGGGTGGAATAGAATCATTATAGGATGCAAAAGGAGGGACTAAATGAAATACGAATGACAAAGATTAAAATAATTTTTATTTATTTAAAATAATTAAATGGAATGGTGAGTTGGTGATGGTGAGTTGGCCACAGCGAGTTGGCTGTGGTGAGTTGGCTTGCAAATAGTTGTTAATAGAAGTCATAGAAGGCTTCCTAAATCTGGCGCCCCAGGTAAATGGCAACTTATGCAAGATGAGTATGGACACTTTTCAGAAACCTTTTGCTGTTCTTGGGCGGTATGTAAAATCAATTACATGTTTTACGGTAGCAATGAAATCGATTCCATGCCAGACAGATCATTGATTGAAAGTACCTCGGAGTGGTTGAGGGCTCCACTAAAAAGTGAAATCATGCAAAGAACAATGAACAAAGAAGACTGGTTTTAGGGAGAGTTGAGCCCTGAAATTAGTAATGTCTGATCAAACTTGGAAATTATTATAGTTTGGTTGTTTGGGCCAGGGAGATTCACTACATTTGTCTGGAATGTGGCAATCTTTGGCGATGAGCCTTGGAAGGCTGCTCAATTAAAATGACTGTTACAGTGGTTTCTGTCAAGAGAAGTAGAAGTAAAAAGTATAATGCTTTGTGTTATTTTATGCATACAACTCTTAGTAATCCTTAGAGAAGAGAATTTTAATGTTTTAATATTTTCATTGAACGTCTCATCACAGGAGCTTGATGGGATTTTATGGTCTTAAAATGCTTTGAGGCATGATGAGGGAGTCTGGATCCAAGACTGTGTGTTGCTTAGCAGAGGCTGACATAGCATAGGAGTAAATGTAACATCTTACAGAGTTATATAAAAATCATAGCGTTTCGTGTTTATCCTGGAGAAAAGCTTTGCTGTTTGGGCTGAAGACAACATGAAGCAGTCAGCCATGAGATGAAAAGAAGGCTGAATACTCAGAAACACCTGCAGGGTCAAAGAGGGTGTTTTTTTGGCATAATGTTGGGGTGATTGTCAAGTCAGACTGTTTAACTTGAAAGCAGACTAAAAAAAAAAAAATATTAGATGAAAACCAGATTCATGTTTTGGGAAATGGTTCCAGTCATATAACCTCTTTCCTCTGTCCTGTTAAAACAATTATCTAACTGACTGCAGAGATTCCTTGGCACCGATTACGCGTTTGTTCTTCTTTAACTTCTCACTGGCTGGTTAGATGATAATGGATGGAATAGAGCAGGAGTCTTCAAACTTGGCCCTTTTATGACTTGTGGACTTCAACTCCCAGAATTCCTCAGCCAGCATGCCTGGCTGAGGAATTCTGGGAGTTGAAGTCCACAAGTCATAAAAAGGCCAAGTTTGAAGACCCCTGGAATAGAGCATCATACCAGACTTTTGGTAGCACAATAGGACTTTGTGCTCCCCTGTGCCCTCCTCACTCAACCCGCTTCTCATTCCCAGCAGAACTCCAAAACCCATTCTGGTGACCGAGGGATCCTCTGGAGTAGATTTTAAGGGGCCATGGAAGGAAAGAGAGAAAAGCTTGCTCCTTTATTCCCACAGAGAAATTATATCCAATAAAAAACATATAACTGGGTTCCGTCCATTCTTATGAGTTGGAGTATGCTACTGCTGAGGATTTAGCCCCGAATCCATAGATTAATTCCAGGAATGTTGTTCTTGAGATTTCAAATTACTTTTATATGTGGCTGACCTTTCTTGGCAAAACATAAATAATTGTCCTGTCCCATTTAGTAATACTAAACTTTTCCTTTTAATTATTTATTTTATTTTAGTATTGGTATTTCCATGCTCCAGAATGGATCACCCAAAACCTTTAGCAGAGAACGACATCCTGTGTCCCTTTAGAACAGGGGTGGGTAACCATGGCCCTTTTATGACTTGCGAACTTCAATTCCCTGAATTCCTGAGCCAGCCATTTTTGGGAATTGAAGTCCACAAGTCATAAAAGGGCCATGGTTACCCACCCCTGCTTTAGAAATTGAAACAACTGACAGCAGCCCACGTTTAAGATAACCAATGATTGGAACCCTTGGAGTACAACTCAAAGTGCAGTTAAGGTACAACCTATTCTCTACTCATTGCACTTAGTTTCACCGAAATATACTTAAAGCTCCCTTACACAGAAAGGGCACCAAATTTGATTTTAGTGCAGCCCATGCCAGAAATAGCTGCCCACTCTTTATTTCACAGGAAGAGATTGAAGCAAGGTGTTTGTGATAAGTGACCATCCTTCTTTCTCCTCTTTCTCCTTTTTTTTCTTTTTTTAAAAAACAATAATAAATTGCTTTGGTTTTTTGGGGAGATAGGTCCATCTGCCCTCACGCCTTCCCAGTGAAGGCCAGAAAGATGCAATGCAAACCAGTAAGGAAAGGGATAAAAGAGGAAAAACTGAAGATGACATTCATGTAACCAAGCGAGGAGAACCAACCAGGATCAAGATCTTTGAAGGAGGGTGAGTATTTGTGTTGTTCTCATATTCCATAGTGTCTGATGGGAGGGGAAGCTTTGATTCTAAAAACAACTCTTGGAGGAAAATGCAATGGTGTCCCTTATTAGCTCCAGTTAGGCTTAGTTTTTTTACTTTCCTTTCTCTGCCTCTCATCATTGTTATAGTCGTGGGCTCTAGCAACTCATATGCCAGGTAAGTAGCTTCGGGTTTCAAGAATAGTAGACCTGTTTCTCATTTTCTGAATTTTTACCTGTGCAGTAATAGAAGAATTGATTGGGGCTGGATTATCGGACTTTTTCCAGAAGATTTGAGTTGGGTTGTGTTGTTTCAAGTATCTCAGTAGGTTGGATAAGAGTTTGATGCTAAAAGGATAAATCACATGTGCTCATCCTAGTTTCACCTATGGCTGACTGTCCAAAACAATGTATGTACAATCTTGTGCAAATGTTCTGTTGCTTGTTTGTGTATAATGTTGTACATTTAGTCCTCAACTTACGACCACAACTGAGCCCCAAATTTCTTATTAAAAGAGTTTTGCCCCATTTTATGATCTTTCTTGCCAAAGTTAAGTCAGTCACTGCAGTTGTTACATGAGTAACACACTTTAGTGAATCTGGCTTCCCCATTGACTTTGCTCGCCAGATGGTTACAAAAGGGGATCACATGACACTGCCATAAATATGAGTCAGTTGCCAAATGTCCAAATGTTGATCCTGTGGCCATAAAGATACCACAATGCTCTTAAGTGTGAAAAACGGTCATAAGTCACTTTTTTCAGTGCCGTTGTAAGTTTGAATGGTCACTAAACAAACTATTGTAAGTTGAGGATTACGTGTAGTCCAGTTTCTAGCCCTGGCCCTCTTTCCATAGATAAAGACTTTTTTTCTGTGCTTCGATCTGATGCTCTAGATTGGGGTGTTTAATGTTGAAATGGAACCTACTTTAATTTTCATCTTATTTATTTAAATGTTGCAGCCATATAGTTGGAACTATAGAGAGCACGGAGAAGAAAATAACAATAACCTTGACTTCTTGCCAGTTCAGCTAAATTGAAGATCTACCTATTATTTTTCAAACCCAGAAATCTCCCCCAAATGCTTAGAAGAGATGTGAGTTGGGTGATTGTTCAGCCTGTAGAAAACAACCCGTGTAGTTCTAGAATTAGTGCTGCTTTAAGTGACTTGATCCAACTGAGTGCAAACAAAAGACAACGGGACTTCTTTGTTTTTGTTTTTTTTTAAGATATTTCACTTCTCATCTAAGAAACTTCTTCTGTTCTGAACTGAAGATACTTCTTGGATGAGAAATAAAACCTCTTAAAGAAAAAAACAAAGTCCAGTTGTCTTTTGAAAAGCACTTTTGGCACAACCATGACCTGGATGACTGAGAATCTCCATGGACATTGAGTGCAGACATATTTTGTATATGTACATAAACATATGTTTTTGTGTGTGTGTGCATGCCTGTCTGCCTAGACTTTCAGATTTCACCAAATAAGCATTCTGAATATTGTAGATCATTAAGTATCGACTTCTAACAGGTATTTCCTACTTCCTTTTTCTCTCTCATAGGAGGTAATTGTTTTATTTTAACTCCCCCCCCAACCACCAATAATGCCTAATGAATTAGAGTTTTCTATAGGGTAGGATAGAATACAGACCTGCATGAGATTATGATTTCCAGAATGGGTTATCCTTTAATTATAGCTGTAAGGTTCATAGCAGATGAGGGAAGGAAAATATATTCACACATAGGATTTTTTTATTGTTGGGGTTTATTTTTATTTAGTTCTGAATTTCTCTCTCTCTGTGAGTGTGTATATATGTCTGCATTTACTGTTTCCTCTGACAGCTTGATTTCATTCTTTCCCATAAAACCCTAAAGGCTTTACTTTCTGATTTCTTATCCAGATGTGGATTTTTTTACCATTCAGAAAAGATTATTCCAGTGGCTGCATGGTGTTTAACTTGCATACAAAGAGATACCACTGACTGCTCTTGAAAAATTTAATATAGCTCCAGATATTAATACAAGATTATGAACCCAAACTATAATGATGCCATAATAAAGTATTGGTAGTAATTTGCCACCAAAAATGTTCATATCCCCATTTTGGGTTTTTGATCAGACAGAAAATGAGGGAGATATGAAGCATTTTTAATTTGAAAATCTTCAAACTGAAAACATTGAAGTTTGGGATTCTTGGAAGAGAGAAGTTCTAGTCCTTACCAAAGATTAGATCAAATGGAAGGGATTTTTTTTTCTCCTTTTCTTTCTCCACTGTCTGATAGTTCTTATCAGAACCACAACCAGTTTATCCTCTAGTGAATACTGACATCCAAATCTCAGATGCTGAATTAGCAACAACCACAATATCTTCAGGAAATAGTGCAAAACCAGTTTGGTTGACGTAGGGATAAAAGCTCCAAGTTATTCTCAGTGGTAAAGAACTGGGGCTTTCTGGACCTTACTGAATTATAACTCCCAACAGTCACAGCAAGGTTGGCCAGTAGTGAGGAGTCACAGGAATGATAGTTCCCCAATGTCTAGAGCAGTGTTTCTCAACCTCAACAACTTTAAGCTCTATTGACTTCAACTCCCAGAATTCTCCAGCCAGCCAGCCAGAATTCTGAGAGTTGATGTCTGTACATCTTAAAGTTCCCAAGGCTGAGAAATATTGATTAGAGGAACACAGTTTCCCTGCTTTTGAGTTCATATTGAGTGATATTTTTTTTACACCTTCTGCTCTTCTTTATAGAAACCTATTCCCTGTCAGTGGCTGGATTCTTATATTGTGCTAAACCAATTGTATGTTTTTGGTTTACCATGATAATGTAGATCTAGCTATTGTGTTTGTAGTCAAAATGATAGCTTCAGCAGCTACTGTAGCTGATCTAACAATGGTGGTGAAGACAAATGCTATTGTAGCTCAATGTGTTATTCTACTTTATATTATTCTCCAGCAAGCTTGGACCTTTTCTTCCCGTCTGCTTGTGCAGTTTTTAAAAGAGTTCACCTTTGTCCATGAATGCACAGTCTAAACAGTAGAGTTAAGTTTTAACATTGCCAGTGGATGGAGTTTTGTGGTCATTTTAAGACCAAATATAAAATGCAATATCTGTATAAGTTTTCCAAGGTTTATTTGTGTTGCTTTATCAGGAAGGACATATTGATATGATGGGGTTTTTTTAAGTACATAAATATAGGCTGAGCTAAGAAAGCAATAGATTGGTATATATAATTAAACACTCTTCTCTTTTTCTTTTTTTTAAATTTGATTAGGTAGAACTTTCAGTTCCTAATAAAAATAGCCAAATGTGGAACTACAGATATAAAATTAGAAGCTCAAGCTTATTGCTTTATTACCTTTTTTCATTGCTATTGGTGAAAAGTGAGCAGGTTGCCCTTGGCATAAATAAGCAGACAATACAAATCTGCAGGGCACAACACAAACAGAAATGAGCAGAGATTTATGAGCTTTTACCTAAATTGAACCTGTAGATGGCATTTTTAAAAAATGTGATGTTTAAAATAGAAATTCTGTGCAATTGCTTTGTTTTTAAAGTTATATTTTCTGCATAAGAAGATGGGGCAAGATACTACTTCACTCATTTAAATGATATTGAAAAGAGTCTTTGTACATCATAATAAACCAGAATATCCAACAGCTATGGCTTACCATGAATATGTATTCTTCCAGTTGTTCCCATTTTCCACAATCATGCATGTGTACTTTCACATCTAAACAACCTGTTGGATTTCCTTTAGTTTACCCTGATTTAAGAACTAGAATCAGTATTTCTACTACAAAAGCCAATCAAGAATGGTATTTTGTATTTGTTTGAGAGATCAACCAGGGATCCTGGCTTGTCATGGCAAACAGCATAGAGCAGACATGTCAAACTTGCTGTTTTGCCATTGCCGGCAAAGGGGTGGGCACAGCTTCTGTATCACGTGTCCGGCCCGCGGGCTGGCAGTTTGACACCCCTGGCATAGAGGGAAGCATAGAGGTTTGACAAACTAGAGCAGTGGTGCATTGGAATATCTGCAAGACATACCACTTGTCTCCAAGCAAAAACTGGTGGGACCACAAAATAAACTATATAATAGAAAACTAAGCCAAAGTATTCTGGACTTTAGAATTCAATCAGACAAATATCTGCCACAGAACATTCCAGATTTAACAATTGTTGATAAGAAATGACTTGGTAGGTGGATAAAAATGCCAAATCCAGTCTAAATATCTGTGACCAACTAATAATAATATTAAAAGAGTGAATTGAACTCTGAACCCACAGTCTGCGTGAATCTCAAAATCCTGGAAGTAGAGATAAAGCTTAAAAAAAAAACATTGAAGAAGAACTGGGTCTTGGCAAATAGCAAGAAAACAAGTCAGCGTTGCCTATCTTTGATAGTTCCAAATAAATAAAATCAACTTCAGAATGCTCAGCAGTGGACATATAGGCTGGAGACACTTAGAAGTCCACCCATCTGCAGCTTATTGAAGTCAGGAAGCACTGCTGTAATTGTTCTGCTTCTTTGACTCCTCCCTGCTTCTTCCAGGGCCAGTTCATGACTGCTGAGTTAACTTATCCACCGTAGGCAGTAATGTGGCTTGTTAGATTTTTTTTGGACTAGATTTTGTACAACATGATTTATTGCTCATCAGGTATATGAACCTGCTTATTGTGGCTTATCTAACAAACAAGCAAAATTTAGTGTGATGTGCAATTCTTCTGTGTGCATGCCACACACTGTATGGGACAAGAAGGAAGGAATTGCTGATCAGGAACTGGGGTTGTTTGCTTCCTTGGCAGATAATACACTTTACCTTTTAGGGAAGGGCATAAGAAAGGCCTCTCGATTTTCTGTACAGATAGTGAAAAATAAGGATATGTGGAAATAGGTACAATCAGAGTGGGTGATCTGCTTAAAGACAAGCTGGTTTTCTTGTCTTGATTCTTTATTTTCAGTGTTTTATGTTCAAGCTATTATCCAAAGCA